GTGAAGCCAGTTCTTTACAGCACTGTTTTATTAGGGAAACATCAAAAACAATGTCTTGGCTTGGACCTTGCAAATTTACAAAAGCTTCTTTCAAATACTAAAATAAATGTTGTAAAGCTATTAAACAAAAAACGAATTCAAAGGGTTCCAGTATTTTTAGATAAGTTGTAGCACTTTTCTTATCTTCGGCAGCCCAATTGTCACTAAACATTTCAAAATTATCACCTCCATACAAAATAACCTCATACATATGAAGTAAGGATAGATATCATAAACAGAACCTTTCAATATTCTCAACCCAGCATGTATTTCACACATTGAGTAGTGGAACACTTGATGAAGCTGCTCCATGATGGATGCCCTTTTGATAGATTGCCTATAATAGCTCCCCACGTTTAGGTGAGGATTTAATCGAAATAGTTAATCCTTTATCTTGATTGATACAATTTCGTATTGATGGAACTGAACGTGAATTCATAATAGCAAGATTAAATGAGTGACCCACGCAATGAGTGTACAAGGCCTTGCTTTGCATATCCCGAGTTTGTTTTTGGACATCAATCTTTCACCAGCCATGGTGGATGCTCCAACATATCCTTGACCATGCAATTCATTTAGTGATTGTTATATTGTTGCATCATGTTACTAGAACTTTCTGAATGTTTCTCATTGTTTTAATTGAGTATTATTGCATCAGAATATCTAGTATTGTGTGGAATGTTCTAGACTTCTGTCGGAGTATAAATGCGCGTCAAAAGATTATTATTTAGGTCCAGACTGCGTGATTACGAGTTTAGGGATAAAGAGTGTATAGTGGTAATTTTTAAAGTGAAATTATCACAGACTGTATGGTAATAACGGAGCAGAGAAGAATAACCCATCTTGTTAAATGTGTTCTAAAGTAATTGAACCAGCCTATGTATACTTTGATGAAAAAGAAAAATATTTAAAGCTCTGGATTTATTTTAATATATTATTTTAAAACAAGTTAACTGTGTTGCTATTTTGTTATTGTTGAAATTTATTGCCAAAAAGTCACAGACACCTACTGTAAAGAATTCGGCCTACAAAACCTAACAGTACAAAGTGTCAACAGAAGCCATATTGCATGTGATTATTTCAAGTCAAAAAACGCAAATGCTTTATTAGAATAATGTACACTATGTATAAAACGATAAATTCCATAAGCAGCTGCGCTATAACTATATAAGCATAATTTATTTCACATAACAAAAAATAGTGAGTTTGGTCAAACCCCCTTGCGTACATGCGTCTTCAGCTCTCTCTCTCTCTCTCTATATATATATATATGATATACGACGTACACAATGCATGTTTTATATGCAGAATACAGATATTTCTTTGGAAAATAACGAGTAACGAGTCGTTACCTGTTACATTTTATAACAAGTAACGTTTTGGACAATCC